TCGGAAGAGGTTGCTCAGAGTCTCAATGTTCTTCAGTCTGAAGCACAGAGAAACATTGAAAGGCGGGGTGAGCATCCTGGCCATTCTCACTCAGGGTCCTGGCCGCAAGCAGTGCAAAACGATCTTACCGGGCAGACACCTCCTCAATTCTCTCAAAGGTACGAGCTACCGCCAGGTAGGGGACCCTGCAGAGACAGAGAGGGGCTTATTCAACACGTATGGAATTGCCACATCCAGCATCTCACATAGCTCCCACCTGGCACCATAGGCTACAAGTGAGAACAGTGAGGAGCTGCAAGCCAGGACTCCTAAATTCTATCCCAGTTCTGGGAGGGGAACAGGGTTTCTTTAGCAAGTCCAGCTGGGGATCGCAACTAGGACTTCTGTGTCCTACTGCCACCTCTCTCACCAGCTTGCTGAATGTCTCTAGGCCAGTGATTCTCAACCACAGTGCCATGAAATCCTTCTAAGATTACCAAAGGATGCCATGTATCATTAGTATTGTTAGGTATGCAAGCATCTAAATAATTCACAAGATAAACCCAGAGATTTCAAATAGGAATCCATAGTGTTAAAAATGGTCTAACTTGTTGCAGCCTGAGTTCTTGCAACAGATTTGCTCTATTTTTTCCATAGCCAAAAAAAAAGGAATGAAAGTGAAGAGCTAGTATTTTCCAAAGAGTGTCTTGAGTCTAACAAGACTGTGAGAAGCATTGTTCTAGGACATTGCCCGCTCTTATGGAGTTAGTTATGCTGCAAACCCCCTCCCCAGTGAGGAGCTAGCTATTAGTATGTGCTGCAGTGAATGTAACATCTCAGGAAGCTTAGACTGAGCCATGCCAGCAGCCAAGGTCTGAGCACCTCTGGCTGTACAGTAGGGCACTCAAGGGTAAAGCCTAGTATTCCAAGTTGCTCAGTTAGGAGTGAAGGGGGAACAGCCCTGATGTGATACAGAGGAGCTCTATTATATGGCAAGGGGAAACCCTTACACATGGCCAAATAACCCTTGGTCCACAAAGGGGCATTCACACAGGGAGATATGCTCTCTCCTCACCTCTGCCCAGGACCCCAGCAGGCATCCTGGACAGGGTGGTAGCTGCTCTTCGAAGGATTGTACTCCACAGGATCCAGCAGCACAGCAGCCTCAGAAGAACTGGAGGGACACATAGCCAAAGAAAGAAGTCCACCAGTAGCAGCATACAGACACCTTCAATGTAGTCCCTACCCCATACATTGCACCACACAGACAGACAGGGCCACACACACACCAACCCACCAGCCTAGGCAGACAGGCAGAGCTCAACATGCCCATCACCCCTGCACTGAGCAGAATGACCTCCCATCTCCCTGTACCAGTCAAGCACACAAGGGCAGGTAACATGCCTCCACCGCATCAGTGAGAAAACCAATCAGTTGGGGAAGTTATAGTATCACAGGGAGCTTAGTAGGCAGACCTGGACCTCCCCTCCTAAGGTGTAGGGATGGAGGGAAAAGCTCTCCTGCATATGCAGAGGCTTTGTCTGGCAGCAGAACTACCCTTTGGCAGAGTTTGCTGCCCCCATCCTCCCTACTGGTGGTAGGGACTCAACGCCCCCAGCTTCCTACCTGGTATTCATCTGGTTGCCCTGCTTGCCACTTGCTGCAGCAGAGCCCTTCAGGACAGAAGACTTATCCGTTGTGGTGGCTGCACTAGCTTCTCCTGTCTCTGTCTTTGCCAATGGTGCCTTCCTGGGGGCTGGTTGAAATTTAAAAGAACCACAGACAGAAAGGTACTAATTACAAACAGCAAAAAAACCCACATATCTGTTAGATACATGTACAGCTGTGGGGATCTGTCCACAACCCTCCCTTCCCTAGATCCACCCACCTTGGGGCCATGTGGGGTCTGCCTCCTAATACTGGTGCTTAGGACAATGGCTGAGGCCGCTGATTTGAGCCAGCATATCATATTAGCTATGCATGGCCTGGTCCAGAGCAGAGGAGGAGCTCATTGTCCATGAGGATTTCTGATCATTCAGGAGATCCCCTTGCTCAAAAAAGAGAGGCCACACTGACTCAGACTACAGGTCCCTCTAGCTGTGTCCTATCTCCCAGTGGCAGAGAGTAGATGTTAAAAGAAAGAGGCTCTCTCTTTATGCAAAGTCTATCCAGACTGTCAGGGGAGAGAGGTAGGGAAGGGACCAGCTTCCAGCATATAGGTACTTCAAAGTCCCAATTTTGAGGCTGCAACCCTAACTGTCATGTCACTGCTAGGTCTAGCCTGCATGAATCTCTGCACTATTCTTTTGAACCTAGTTAAATGATCAGTTTCCACAGCACCTTGCAGCAAGGAGTTCCACAGTTGCATGAAAAAGAATTTTAAACTTGCTAAGTAATAGTTTCATTGCATATTCCCTACTTCTAATATGGTGAGAAAAAGTAAATCCCAATTTACTTTTACTATGTCATTCATGATTTTATCGACCCGTCACATGCCTCCTGTTCAGTCATCTTTCCTCTAAGCTGAAAACCTCCACACTATTTAGTCTCTCTCATTATAGATGCTTCTCCATGCCCATGATCATCACAGCTACCTTTCTCTGGAGTTTTTGGAGGTAGGGAGGACTAAAACGACAGGCAGTATCCAAAATGTGGGTGCACCATAAATGTATACAGTGGCATAAATCCCATTCTTAATTTGTTTTCAATACCCTTCCTAATCAATTCCTAACATGCCCTGTTTGTCTGCCACTGAACATTAGGCTCATGTATTCACTGAACTCTCACTGCACCAGGCAACCCTGCCCAGTCTTTACGCAAAAAGGCTGGTCCCTGCCCTCCTGCCACCCCTCAACACCAACAGGTATCAGACCCCACATGTCAGTGGCTGTGGGTTGGTAGGCTGCCTTGGTCCTTATCTCCCTATGTTTGGACAGCATGTTGTGGGCCTGCAGCTCAGAGTGCCACAGCTCTGCAGGTAGCACAATCTCATCAGGGACCATGTATCACACTAAAGAAGCTCCATCAGCAGCATTGAGGCTGAGTTGCCCTTGTATCATGCATTGAGGCTGAGTTGCCCTTGGTCACAGCCTGGCTCTGGAGAGTGGTATTGTAGCTTTCCTTTTTCACTCTTCCTAGCACTTTAGAAGCCACACTGACTAGTTTTACAAAGGAGGTTCCTACATGGGAGAGCCTGGATTGTGGTGGATCTGACCTTCAACATACAGACTGGTTCTACCCGGAGCTAACCTATCTGAGAAGAAGATACAGTGCAGCCACACTGTACAAAGAACTGGAAACAGGGAAGAGGAGGATTACATCTGCCCTGGGCTCTACCTACTCCCAGCTGGAGAAAATCCTTGGGGCTGTGCCACACTCCCTGCTCACTCACCACCTTAGGCCAAGGATCCCCAATTCAGGCTGGGTCTGAGCCACAAGTACACTTACCAAAGAAGTTGGAGATGGCTCTGCTGGGCTTGGAAGGCTCAGATTTCTTCTGGGCTGCTGCTTCTCCTCCAGTTTTGTCAATTTTGTCCTTGTTACCAGCTGCTTCCCCTGAGGTGCCCTTACCCTTGGTTAACTCTTCCTCTGAACTCTGCCCTTTCACCTCTTGCATCTCCATAGACTCTGCTGCAACCTTTGCTCTCTCACCAGTCTCATCTTTTGGGTCTAAAGCAGGGGAAGAGGCCCAAAGCACATTAGGTATGCCATCCCCAGGAAGGGACCCACAATCCCAGGAAGACCAGTAGCCAGGTTCTCCCAGCTGCAAACAGTAGCCTGCTGCTACAACCAGGACTGCCTCTCAGTCAAGAAATTAAGAATCAGATGAGACCATAGGTACATCCTGCCCAGACCTTTGCCAGGGGTTGCCACCACTCCCTCCGCAGCTGCTGCTGGAGCTGGGCAGGGAGCAGCAGGAGCCTGAGGAGCTGCAGTAAGCTTCTGATTTCCACCACCACCTTTTACTGGACCTACAGGCCCCTATTCTCAGGGGAAGAGGGGACTTCCCACCTCACCACCACCAGCTACCACCTGGTGCTGCCTGCAGCGAGAAGACCACACAACACCAGTGGGGCCCCTTCAGCACCACCACCTGCCTGCTAGCTGCTCCAGCAGCACCTGCCTGTGTCTACCTCCTGTGGTGAGACCTGTGCTCTACTCCTCCTCTCCCAGTGTTTGTGATTAACTGAGTAAGCCAGCAGCATTCTTCTGCTTTCCTCCTGAGTGTCCTTGCTTGTCTTTTTGTGTTTCCCCCACCCCTACCAGTCCCAGCCTCTCACCTGCACGCCACATAGCCCCCAACCCAGTGCAGCTGGAGGAAGCACCCTGGACCCCCTGCAGCAAGACACCTTCTTTTCCCCAGGCAGAAGAGGAAGCTCACAGCTCCTCCTCTTGCACACCACCCAACCCCTTACCACCTAGCCTCCTATGGCAGGGCAAGAATGACAGCCCCCAACCAGGCAGATGCCAATGACCAGGGGGTGAGAGCCTGCAAAGCCAGGGGGCTCCCCCTGGCCAGTCTTCCCCAGAGGCCCCCAAATCCAACCAAGGCAGAGGAAAGGGCAAAGCCTCCTCTTCCTCCTTCTCCACAGGGGGTGGAAAGGATAAAGGGCCTGCAAAGAAAGTCCAATTAGCAACACCTGCAGGGAAAACCCACACCAGCTTAGCAGAAGCCCTGCCCACTCAGCATTCCCCCAGCTCTGCAAGCCCAGTTGCTCAGCCCAGCAGCTGGAGCTACGCCCAGGTGGCTGCAGGAAAACCTGCAGCCTCAGAGCCTGGGCCCTCCATTGCCTCTGTCCATACCACCTCAGGCCCCCTCCCCAACATTAGCAGTTGCAACAGGGCACAAGTCCCATGGTCCTGCTGAGGTTCTGGCTGCACTTCTCCCCTCACTTTTTTTTCTTATGAACTTCCCATCCGTCACCCCACCATATCCTGGGACCTCCTAGTCAACCTCCTCTTGGCTCTGGCCATGCTGGCCATCTATAAGACCAGGAAGGAGGCTCTGGCTGGGAGGAACCAGGGTGAGTGTAGGGCTGTCTTCCTGGCATTTCTCCACCCAAATCTCCAGAGACACGTGTCTGGTTCCAGTGACTCCCTCGACTCGCTCAGGGGGCAGTGGGCGCTGGCCAGTGTGCTCTGCTCAGTGCCTCCTTTCGAATCCCATATTACTAATCTGTGATTTCACTCCCATTCGTTGCATAAAAGCTGGCATTTTGTGCATGGGTCACCATGACCCACAACATGGGCTGGAAAATTGACCCATATGCTTCCAGGCCCCAGCACAGCTCCTGATCCCGTGTCAGCTGGCCTACACAGAAGCAGAGGATGGGTCTGCCCTGGCCTGCACAGGAATTTCATCCATCACAACCAGACCCCTTGGGTGGCTCCTAGTTTTCTTTTTTGTTGTCTTAAGTAATTAGTTGATATGCCCTCAGTGGCCTCCCTTCTTAAAGGAAGCTTATAGTATTTCATGGTGAGCCACGGTTCATGAACCCGTGCCACATCAGATAGGCCTGTGTCACACAGTGGCAGAAAAGATGCTGAAAGAGAGAGCAAACTGGGTATGACCAAGGTTTTCTTCCCCACTGGACTGCTCTCACTTGCAGCCACCAGCAATTAAGGTCTAGGAAGTTTTAATTCAGAGACTACATCCCTAACTCCAGTGCTCAATAGCTACATAGCCCCTTTCCTCCAAGAATGTGTTCAATGCCTCTTGGAATCTGGCTAAACAGTCAGCTTCCACAACATCTGGTGGCAATGAGATCCACAGCTAGAGGAATGGTATAGAAGTAGAGACTCATGCACAAGGGACAGGCCCAACCAGGCAGAAACAGCTGCCTTCCCTGTGGTGTCATTGGCAGCAGGACCATGAGATACACACACATGCAAGGATGAGACCAGGAGCTCCCAGTCCGCACTCACCTGGCTCTTCTCTCAATCTTTTGGCGACTGGTTCTTTGGGGTGGCCATTCTCTCTGCTTGTCGCCATCTCTATTTTGCTTCTGGGCATCTGCTTGCGAGCTAGTAGCAGGGAAGAGGTAGAGGTTAGAGCTGTCTGCCTACAGGCCATTAGGAGGAACCCCTTGGACCCACCCCAGCCTTTGACTCAGTACAAGCCATGAGAGAAAGAGGCCACAAGACTTGAACTAGTCAAAACAATTAACTGGGCAGGGGCAGACCCAAGACCTATAACAAGACCACTCCTCTGTAAGGTACCAATATCACATTTCCCTCCATCTAAGGCTGAGGGGGCCCTGTGGGCTCAGACCAGCCCCAGGACTTGGCACTCAGAAAGGCAAAGCCTCACTCCCACCTCACCCCAACAGAAAGGTTTCTGGAAACCCTTGTGTACACAACAAGAGAGACCAGGCTGCCATTAGCTTTACTGACTGGCAGCCTCCAGTGGCTGGGATCCACTCATAAAATCCACACAAGGGCCAGGCATGTCTGTACAGTACAAGGGAGTAAAAGCACACAGGCCTCACAGATGGAGAGACAGAGGGCATGGGAGGGGAGAAGGGATGTGCTAACTACCTCTGTGAAGCAGCTCATGCACAGGAGGCAATTCAAAGTGGTGATCCTGGGAGCCCCAGGAGGTTTTTAAGTCACAATGTGGTAGGCATGGCCTCTGGCAGTGCTGAAAAACAGCATGAGCATGGGAAACTAGGAAGAGTGCAATCACGTCTGCAAATGTTCTATATTCCTTGGTTTACTTGCTGGTATTATCACATTTAACTACACAAACTGAATCAGAGCCATTAGGAGGGCAAACAGAAAACAAAACCTGAAACCAAAATAATAGCTTGAGACTAGTGGTGCACAGATAGTTTTTTTGGGCTGATACCAATGGCCAATTTTTAATGTGCCATATCTGCCGATACCAATCTGATAGCCTGGCAGGATAGAGTGCGGCATCCAACTGGTAAGTCTGTAGGACGCAAAGAGACAGGGGGAGGGAAGGGGCATGTTGTGGGGGCAGACCAAGGTCCCGCAGCGTGGGAGGGAGTGGGGCTGGTGCTGGGGCAGGTGCTGCCCAGCCGGGGCATGGCACAGGGCAGAGCCGCAGCTCATAGTTTCATAGTTGGTAGGGTTGGAAGGGACCTGAGCAAATCATCAAGTCTGACCCCCTGCCATGGCAGGAAAGAGTACGAGGGTCAAATGACCCCAGCCAGTTGTTTATCCAGCCTCCTTTTAAAGACCCCCAGGGTAGGAGCCAGCACCACTTCTCTTGGAAGTTGGTTCCAGATCCTAGCCACCTTGACAGTAGCGCCTCCTGTTATCTAGCCTGAATCTACTCTCTGCCAGCTTGTGACCGTTATTTTTTGTCACTCCTGGGAGTGCTTGGGGGAACAGGGACGCCTTGGGGGAACAGGGCCTCCCCCAGTGCCTGCTGGTCCCCCCTGACTAGTTTGTAAATGGCTACTAGATCCCCCAATAGCCTTCTCTTGTGGAGGCTGAACAGGCTCAGGTCCCTTAACCTCTCCTCATATGGCCTGCCCTGCTGTCCCCTGATCATGGAGATGGCCCTCCTCTGGACCCGCTCCAAGTTGTCCACATCCCTCCTGAAGTGCGGCGCCCAGAACTGGACGCAGTACTGCAACTGCGGCCTGACCAGTGTCGCATAAAGGGGGAGGATCACCTCCTTGGACCTGCTTGAGATGCATCTGTGGATGCATGACAATGTATGGCTGGCCTTCCTGACTGCATCCCCATACTGTCGGCCCACATTCATCTTGGCCTCAATAAGGATTCCAAGATCCTTCTCTGCCTCTGCACTGAGAAGGCAGTTCCCAGCCTGTAGGTATGCTGCCGGTTCTTCCTCCCCAGGTGCAGTACCTTGCACTTGTCAGTGTTGAAACCCATCCTGTTCTCATCCACCCACCCCTGTAACCTGTCTAGGTCCGATTGCAGCCTATTCCTCCCTTCTAGCGTGCCCAGTTCTCCCCACATCTTAGTGTCATCCGCAAATTTGAACAGGGTGCTTTTTACCCCCTCATCCAAGTCGCCGATGAGGATGTTGAACAGTGTGGGCCCAAGGATTGAGCCCTGGGGGACCCCACTGCCCACATCCCTCCAGGTCAAATAAGACCCATCCAGCACCACTCTCTGGGTGCAGCCCTCCAGCCAGTTAGTGACTCATCTGACTGTGTAGGCATCAACACCACAGTCCCCTAATTTTTTAATGAGAATGGGGTGAGAGACAGTGTCGAAGGCCTTTCTAAAGTCCAGAAAGACTATATCCACCGTGACACCTGCATCCAGGGATTTTGTGACCTGGTCATAGAAGGCCACCAGGTTGGTCTGACAGGACCTGCCTCTAATGAACCCATGCTGGTTGCCCCTAAGCATAGTCTCCCCTGCTGGCCCTTAGTGGACATGCACCAGGATAATTTTCTCAAAAAGCTTCCTCAAGACCGAGGTAAAACTAACAGGCCTATAGTTTCCTGGGTCCTCCTTCCTCCCTTTTTTGAAAATGGGAACCACATTGGCCCTTTTCCAGTCCTCTGGCACACCACCAGAGCACCATGAGTGCTCGTAAAGCCGTGCCGAAGGTCCCGCAATAACCTCTGCTAGTTCCCTCAGCACTCTGGGGTGGAGATCGTCAGGACCTGCTGATTTAAATACGTCCAGTCCCTCCAGAAGTTCCCTGACTAGGTCCTCGCTGACCCTAGCCCTGGGTGTGCCTCCCACAGGGCCTACGGGGGTCCCAGTGGGGGGGATGACCAGGTCCCTACTCAGGAAAATGGATGACCAGGTCCATACTCATCTAGGGGGCGAGGTGGGGTAGGCAGCTCCCGCCACTGCATGTACCCTGGGAGGGCATGGGGGCCACGTACCCTCCGGATTTGTGTATGGGGCGAGGAAGGGCTTCCACTGTGGACTGGGGTGGGGGCAGCACTGGGCTCTACCCAGCGGGGAGGGCTGCACTCGGGGCAGGCAGTGACTGAGGCACTGATGGGGTTGCTATGGTAAATTTTGGGGTGGCTGTAGCCTACCCGGAACGTAGCCCTGGCCCAGCCCCTCCAAGGCCCTTCCTTCCCGATCTACAAGAGTGAGAAGAAGGTGGCCTATCATGAGAGCGGTATGACGTGCTATCAGCTCCAGCTCTCTAAGGGGGTGCTGGGAAGAGTCAATGTTGTATCCAGTCTGCAAGGGAGTGGACTGCAAAGGTCCCCCCTAGTAGAAGGGCAAGTAGAGAAAATGCCTATGAAGAGATATGCATCACTTGCCCCAACCCTCAGACCTGGGTAGGGCCCTCACCAGTCCTGCGCCTGGGGATGTCAGAGTGGGTGGTGTCAGTCCCATCAGAACTGTTTTTAGCAGACTGGCTGCTGCTTGGTGACGGGCTGTCTGCAGAGAGCTCAGACTGAGCAGGGTGCACCAGCTCCTGAAAGACAAACTCCAAGAGTATTACAGGCAGGGTCAGAGCCCCATCAAGGCCCACCCAACTACTTCATTCTCCCTGGGCTCCAAGTAGCCAGTATGCAATGCTGACAACAACTGGGTGATGGCATCAGACAGGCAGCAGTACTCAGCCCGAGGGAAGAGCATTAAGCATTAGGATGGTGTCCATGGGTGAAGAGGGTGTTCTGAAGAAGCCTGGGAGAGGTGTGGGGGAAGCTGCCATCTGAAGGCCAGTGTCTGAAGGGACAGGGGTAACCTCAGTAGCTCACTACAGGAAAAACAGCTATAGTCACCCAGAGGCAAAGACACTTTTTGCTATGTATCTAAAGCAGGTGTGGGCAAAATATGGCCCATGGGCCAAATCCAGCTCACGGATGGACTTTATTTGGCTCACAGCAGTTCCCTCAGTCCTATCTGGCCTAGGCGCTATCCAGCCCATGAACGCACCCCGTCATCCCAGGGCACGCGGTTGTGCTGGGGCAGCTCCGTGACTGGACTGCATTCTGGGCAGCCCAGGCACTGGTGGCTCCTTCTGGCTACCACTGCTGCTGGCCCAAGTCCCATGGTATTGACAGGGCCCCCCCAAGCACAGCCCAGCTTATGCCCAGCCTGCCCTGTGCCCACTCCAGCAGAGCTCCAGACCTCAGCCTATGGTCCGGCACAGCCCTGACCCTGGCCTGCCTCATGTCTGCTCTGGACCACCAACCCACACTGAGCAGAAGCTGCTCCTGGGCACTGGTGGGGAGAAGCCACAGGGCACATGGGATCTGGGCCGTTTTGGGGGATGTGGGGTGCTGATCTGAACAGTTCCCCAGAACTGCCTCTGTGGCCCACAGGCCCAAATAATGGCCCACACTGATCTAAAGAGTAGCAGCTCCCTCCCCACTCAGTTTACCCAGAACAACATGCACTCCAGAGCTTGGAGAGCCAGCAGCAGAACAGGCACTAAGAGGAGGGATAGGGGGAGTCAGGGTGCACTGGTACGTTGAACAAAGGGTCTGGGGGAAAGCAAGGCACAGGAGAGGCCCAGTACACTGACAGGAGGTTACCTGCTTGCTGCTGGCTTTCTTAGGAGTCTCAACCTGCATCTGCCCCTCCTCCGCTATGACTGCTGGCTCAGGCTCCTCCTCTTCACTGTCACTCTCAATGATTCGGCGCAAGGACCTCTTGCCTATAGGCTTCACTGGAGAGTTTGCACAGTGACCAAGACCATTGCTCTGCTTCTCAGCCTTCTCTGGCATCCTGCAATGCAGACAGCCTTCAGAAAGCAAGGCCCTAGGATTCATACCAACTGTGCCCCTCAACCCGAGCAGCACTCTCCATGAACTGCATAAAAGCTGGCCTTCTATGCATGGGCCGCCATGACCCACCCCATGGGTTGGAAAACTGATCTGATCCATATGCCTCCAGGCCCCAGCACAGCTCCTGATCCCCCAACAGCTGGCCTACACAGAAGCAGAGGATGGGTCTGCCCTGGACTGCACAGGAATTCCATCCCACATAACCAGACCCTTTGGGTGGCTCCTAGCACTCAACCCGCTAGAGGCACTCAGAGGTCAGGACTGAGAGGTCTGTACCTAGAACATAGGTATACAACCTGTAGATCTCAGCATACAACACAGCTGTAACTCCACAGCAGGTCTAAGTCTCCCCCTACTGCAAAGCAAACACAACAGAACTGCTCTGCATTCCCTGGCCCACAGCTAATAGTGCCACAGGAGCTTCTGCTGGAGGGCCTTCGGCCCCCAGGGAAGTGGAGGGGCCCTTCAGGTGACCATATATGACCCCCAAGCAGCAGCAGCAGCTGCTGGAAAAGCCCTGCAGCCTCAGGAAACAGTCTGAAATCTGGTGGTTTCAAGGAGACCCCAGAACTCACAAACACCTCCAGTGAACCACAGATGCAACAGCGCAGTCACAGACCTATAAAAGAGTCTCTGGAAAAGAGGCTACTCTCTGCTTCTACTCATAGGTCAGTGACAGCCCTGAGCCCAGGCACAGCCCACACCACCACATCCCTGGACTGACTGGGCTGCCTTGTTCTACTGGGGTATAAGTGGATGGGCCCAAAACCCAGGGTCCTGCGGTAACTCACTTTTTAGTCGCATGCTCATCTTCTAGAGGTCTGCTCTCCTCTGCCTTTGCTCCCTTCACAGGCTGGAAAAATGACCTGTCCAGACAGACAGAGATGCATGGCAAATCCCAGGATGGTGGGCCAGAAAGTCCCCTGCACAGGTGAAATCCCACATGTGGGCTCACTACCCCTCCTCCCCTACCACCTCGACACACACACTCAGGCTCCACCTTATGCAAGCTCCACATCGTGTTTGAACCCTGCAGGGCAGTGGTATGCACACGGCATGACTGGAATTTTGGGATTCCTCTCTAACTTTCTGTGGTGCTGCCCCATCAGGCAAAGTCCTGGCATGCTCAATGCCTGCACCACATGGTGAAGAGGACAGCAAAATGCTAAGACGGGAAAGGCAAAATACATCCTGTAGGCTGCATCCAGCCTGCCAGGCACTTTCATCCAGGCCGCAGAGCTCACCAATGAATTGTACCCTGCCCAAGCTTTCCGGTAAGGGTACGAGTGAGGCGCCCACATATATACAACCCCCAACATACTCTATTGCGTCTTGTTCTCACCCTCATGGGTGACAGGGCCCAGACAACATACAGCTCCTGGGTGGGGCTGCTGCGGCTGCTGCTGCAGCCACCTGGGACCTGCTCCACTTCCCCAGCCTCCCGCTCGCTCCAGGCAGCAGATAGGGAAGCGGCAGCGATGGGGTGGGAGGTGCAGTTCGGCGGAAGCATGGAGCTTGAGGCTGGCAGCAGGCAGGAGTGCTCGGGATGCTGGTGCCTGGTGGCACATGGCTCAGGCCAGCACTGCACATTGCGGCAAGGAGCACAGCCCCTGCTGGGCCATCTATCATCGGCACTCCCTGCCGCACACACACAACCCCTGCATTTGTACGACATGGGAGGGAGGCCCCACGCACTGGAGCCAGCTACCTTTTACAGCAGGAGGCAGGGAAGGCAATGGGCTCCAGTGCATGGGGCTTCCCTCCCATGCCTTGCGAGTGCAGGGGCTGCATGTGCATGGCAGAAGGTGCTGGCAATAGAAATGCCGAACAAGGGCTGCGGTCCTAGCCACAATGTGCAGTGCTGGCTGGAGCAAGGCATGAGCACCATGAGCACTCCTGCCTGTTGCTGTGCCATTGGGGGGACTGTGGGAGGATCCCCATCCCTCCACCTTCCCTCATACCCCACAAATGCCACAAACCCACACCCTGTCCCCACAACCCCTCCTCACAAACACACAGCTCCCCAATATGCCCTATGCTCCCCACACACACAGCCATACCCCCTCACAAACCCCCATACACCCCCCCCAAATCACACCTCCCACACACCCCCAACCACAATATACAAGACTAAGGATTTATTTTTTAGTTATTATGCAATCACTTCTATGTACAGTATGCAAACACAAATCATGATAATAATACTTGTCCCAGCCTATCTCCTGGCATGTGCTCCAGGAGCAGCCTCATGCCCACACCCATGCCGAGACAGCACTAGAGGGCACTGGGCCAGACAGGAAAAGGCTATTACTTACATAATGGAGCGCTGCATCTTGAAGGTGTGCAGGGGAGGGAGGAGAGAAAGCAGTCACAGTGTGGTCCAGCACACACCCTCAGAGCCCCTCCATTGCAGTTCCAGCTTGGGGCAAAAAAGAAAAAGCAGCAAGTGAGAGAGTACAGAAAGACTCTAAGTTGGCCCATGATGCCATTCAAGGCTCTCATACTGTTGGCCTGACACCTTGCTGGGATGCCCTCTGCTTTGCTCTCTCCTCTGGGGATTGATGGGCAAGGAACATCTGCCCCTGCCCCACAAGACCTAACAGCTCTATTCTCAAAGCAAGCCCCAAGAGAAAGCATCAGTCTAGAAAATGAACCTGCTGGAAAGAATGCTGGGGTATCCCCCAGAGCCAGCTGGTCTACTGGGGAACGGAGAACTGAAAGCCTAGACTCCAGGGCATGGGTAGGCAGGACCCAAACAACACACTTCTCCCAAAACCACTGGGGATTTGCAGCAGCTTGTGGTTGAGCCATCTGGAGCCCTGCAGCACCCCAACCCTGAAACCAGAAAATGCATGCTGCAGAAGACACCCCAGGGACCCTCTGAAGATTTGTGGGTTGCAGTCAGCTCTTGGGTTACCACAGCTCACTTTGCCCTGCCCCACACCAGGGTACCACAATGACTAGATACCCTACATCCAGCCCTGGTGGCAAACCACACACCTGATAGGGCAGCTCTGAGCAGGGGCCTCTCCAGCAACCCAGGTAGGCCACCCTCAGCCCTCTACCACATGCACGGTTTTCAAAGCTCTGTTGCAAGCCAGACATCACAGGGCCTCAACATGTCTCCTGGGACAGATGGGGAAACAAGCAAGAAAGGAAGGTAGAAGCCACACTGAGACCATAGGGGTAAAATCTCTCTCCCTTGCTAAATACTAGGCCACCCTCCCTTGGAGAAAGTCCTGTCAGCTAAGCTGCAGTCCTTGCTCCAAGTCTATTGGATGCAGATGTTACAAGGTAGATTGATTTAAAACAGGGGTGTCATGGATATAACCTGCAGAGCCCCATGATCTAGTCACAGTTCTGCCTAAGGGTCTCAAACTGGTTTGCATGCCACGTGTAGCATGTGCCAGCCTCAGCCTCGTGCACTGCATGCAGTACATGAAGCCGGTCTGGCACACATTGCACACAACATGTGAAGCCAGTCTAGCACATATGCTGTATGTAGCATCTGCCCTGGACCAGCTTCATACACTTCCCCAGACAGAGTCTGTACACTGCATGTGGCCCATGTACCTGCGTGAAACATGTGCCAGACCAGCTCTGCACACTGCCCACGGGGCTGGTCTAAAGCAAGCTGGTTTGCATGAAGCATGCAGGGCTGGTCCAGGGAGCAAACTGCACGCGGTACCTGCACCAGACCAGCCCTTGCGCACTGGATCCAGCACACAGAGCCACTCTATAAGCCCGATCCAGCCCATGGACCAATCCCACATCCCTCACGCAGCCTATGAAGCCAAATGAGTTTGATGCTCCTGACTTTAAAAAAGGCAAATTAAATCACCAAATGGAAAGTCTCCACTAAAATCATCAATTCAGATCTGCTTTTCCATTTGAGTTATTTTGTAACAAAAAGTACATCTTCGTTTGCTATAATTCCTGCCTCCTCCCCCCCGACTATCACTGCTAAGAAAAGCTTTTTGAGTAGAGCCAGTTTACCTTTTGGCTACCTAAGTGTGACCAAAACCAGCCAGAAACAAGGGCCCGCGATCACAAAGTAGATCAGTAGTTTTCCATGAGCTGAAAAAAGTAAGTTTCCATACTGGATAGTCATAAATATTCATAGTTTGAATACTGATCTCATCTACAGGTAGGTAAGGAAAAGCTATAGAGGGAAATACGCAACCACCCAAATGGCCTCAGTGTGTGTGTTCAACAAGGTACGTAATGGGGTCTAACGGAGTCAGCGGTGGGATCTCAATACTTGCAATGACTGACAGCCTCTTGCACCCAATAGCTCATTCCCTGGGGTTCACCAAAAGATTAAACCCTCAAGGCAGCACACAGCATATTGTGTTACACTTAAAGAGCAGGGCTTCAACGAGTAAATGTTTATCTCAAAATTCTTCCTAAGTGGAGAAATGCATCCAGCCTTCAACCCAAGCTTTTTGATAGAGGCTCACTAAGTCAGCATTTATTTTTTTTGTTTAAAAAATAAAATAAAATAAGAGTAAGCCTCATATACTGCATTACAAAAAGAGCTCAACTTGAAACAAGTGCATTTTTAAATTAAACAAATTACAATATAAACAATAAAAAATTATTTATTTTCAATTGACATTTTTTCACACCATTTTTGCCAGGGGGGCTCTTAGTGAGGGTGGAAATAGCTTAATCGGTGTCGTCCCAATGGGGAGGTGAAGCTGACCTCTGGCTTCAAGAAGTGTCCAGAACAAACTGCTCCAAGTCAAGTGGATAGCTACAGAGAGCACGCAGCAGGCAGCAGCATTTTTGCCCTGAGACTGCAGGGTATGCATGACCTTTGTCCCATTTCATTGCACCTGACTGTGGAGGTTTACAGAAGCTTGCTGCTTTCTGACTATCTGGACCCCAGTGAGATCAGAGGGTAACAAGTATGACCAGCACCACACCAAATGATACCATAGGGGAAGGCCCATTTGTTATGTGAATAAACTGTGGGCATAGGCCCACACGGAAACAAGAAAGTTACACCTGTAGTCAGAGGGAGGTGACCAAAAGCACAAGGAGAGACCCCAGGGGACCACAGATGAAAAAACAGGGATGGGAGGTGGAGGGAGGGGTGGGGGTCTGAGGGTAGTCAGGAGCGCTCCAAAGGGTGAGCACCCACTGCCCTGCAAAGGTGCCCAAGGAGCCAGAGGATTCTGCCTCAAGTCAGCGAGCAGGAGAGAGCCAGGGAAACGGCCCCACGCTCACATGGGTCCCCCCGGCCGGAGCCTCCTTCCCGGTCTGGCAGAGGGCCCGGGCCCCCCAGCGGATGGGGAGCGCACAAGAGTAAAGGCGCGGGGAGAAGCGCCGCCAGAGCCGCAGCAGGAGCCTCTGGAGGCGGAGACTGATGCCAGAGGGGAAAGGAGAAAGCCCGGAGCTTGCCCCCTGGCTGGCACCGGGGATGCCGGGGCCCAAGGGTCGGGCGCTGAACCAGGGCCCCGAGGGGGGCGCCGGGCACGAGGCCGCGTGGGGAGGGGCCACTGTCCCCGGCACCCGCGAGCGGCCGTTCCCCGCGCAGCCCATCCCGCGGGTGGAGGGGGGGGAGCGGGAGCCGCGCGCCCGCGGTTACCTGGAAGCGCGCGCCCAGCCCCGGCCCGCGACCTTTTCGCGGGAAAAATCCAAGCCGAGTTCCGACAGGCTCCGAGCCTGCGTCACTACCGGGGCGTAACCCGGAAGCGAGTCCGGGTACAGGCTGAGGGCCGAGCGCCTGCTCCCGCGGCCTGCCGGGAAATGTAGTCTGGGTGGCGGCCGCGCCCCCGACACCGCGCGGGGGAACGGGCCCGGGGCTGCCACGCGCCGCCTCCGCGCACCCCAACCCCCGGGGTCTGCTTGGGGGCAGGAGGGGCGCGACTCGCCCCCCGTCTGCAGCAGGACGCGCCCCCTGGCTGGTGCGGGGCCCGTGGAGACCCGAGTCACACGGCGGGCCCGGCTCGGCCTAGCCCGGAGCGCACCAGAGGAGGGCCCGGTCTCTCCTCCAGACCGCAGGCGCAGGGGCTACTCCTTCTGGAACCACCTCTCAGCACCACGGATCTGTGATGCTGGGAGCACTTCCGGCAATCAACTCCCCCCACACAGCTCGCTTGTCCACCTGCCGCTCCTGGCTCCTTCAGCAGTGGCTGCCCCGGGCCCAGGGGGGCCTAGCACGTGGGAAGTGGGGCCACAGGGTCCTTAGGGAGCAGGGCAGGGTCAAAGAGGGGCGCCCCAGTGCGGAGGCGCATGGCAAAGATGTGGCGGCAGGGCAGCAGGGGGGAGGTGTGGATGGAGCAGCTGCAGTGGGTCAGTGCCTGATCCATGCAGAACTCAGACGGGCCGTCGTTGAGCCGGTAGCCCTCAGCCGTCTCCTGGCAGCTGTATAGGCTGTGCCGGGCAAACCCCAGCTCCTCCTCGATCAGGCCGGCGGGCTCAGGCTTGCACACAGAGCGGTAGCGAGCAGCCAACTCCTCCTCGTCCAGCTCTTGGTCTTCGGCTGTGGCTGTGCCACTAGCCTGCATGGCCGTAAGGTCCAGGATGCACTGTGCCACAGTCAGAGGGGGGCTGAGGGCCGAGAGCAGCCGGTGCTGGTGCTCCTTGAGCAGTTCACAAGCATTGACGTTGCAGGCAGTCTCAAAGGCCCAGAACTGCACCCACATCTCACTACGCGGCTGCCAGTGACGGCAGAAGTAGCGGACGAACCCATGGGGGAAGATGGCCTTCATTTCCTGCACTGCCTGATTGTAGGCAGCTGGCGACTTGGAGGAAGCCAGCTGGCAGAGCAGGGGCCAGATGCGTTCATCCTCTGCCACACCCAACTCCTGGGCCTTGTTGAACAGGGTCTCCAGCACCTGGGAGCGGCAGATCTGGACACGGGCATTAGGTAGCAGCTCCTTCACTGCTTCCAGGTTGGTGATTTCTATGCCCAGGGTGACACAGCGTACCTTGAACTTGACCTCAGGCACGCTCTGCACGAGAGAGGCCAGCGTGAAGCGCAGCAGGTCAGGCGTCTCCTTCCGTGTCAGGCAGTAAGTGCACTCATGTCCCCGACCAGTCCCATCCACACACAGCACTGTGTAGAGGTCGAACTCCTCATTAAGCCCAACCATGCGGTCAAAGAAGAGCATGAGTGGAAAGCGCTGGGCCAACACCATCATGCGTGAGGTCAGGAAGAAGATGGTCTTGACAATGACCTTGTCCTCCATGAAGACCAGCTTTACCTTGGCTCCAGGGTCACTGGCAAAAAGACTGTCTAGGCCATGGAGGACATCCAGCACACCATGGTCACGGCTCTTGCAGTAGGAGAGCAGGCGTCGCACATCCTGAGCGCCTACAAACTGCTTGGAGATCTTGTTGGTGGTGCGCACTGGCAGGCAGGAGTTGGCCATCAAGTAGCCCTTTTTGAAGTAGTAGGCAAACTCTATAGGACAGAGCGTGTGGTTGTGGGCCAGCTGGCACTCAGTGACAATCAGACGGTCCTTACTGGGGCTCATCTTGAGAACGATGCTGGCGCTACAGCCCTTCTGCTGACCCCTGCAGGCAAAGAGACAGTGCTAGGCACCCAGACACCAACATGAGAATCCCCTCAGGCTCCAGACACACAGCATCGTGCCTGGAGCCAGCAGAGCCCCTTTCTCTCCTTATGGCATGGAAACCACATCTCCCAGCCCACTGGGTGCCTGGCCTGCAGGACACTGCAGAACACTTGCTTTTATGTCCAGGTGGCATATAACCATGGACAGGAGGGCACTCTCACTGATAGGAGAGGTCAGTATGACAGGCTGAGGGTCACTAGGGCCTAACCCCCTGATGTGAGGTCACTCCACAGCACCATTCATGCCGTTCAAGTCACATGCAGGCCAGCTTGGGAGCTGTCACTGTTTCCCTA